TGAGAGCCCCTGGAACTCCAGTGTCCCCCAGGTCCCTGCTGAGGAGGCACCCGAGAGGCCGGCAGACTCTCCCCTGGGCCCAGCCCTGCATGGACCTAAAGCGGCCAGGGGGGCTCAGAGAGAAGGAATCCCGGTAACTGATGACTTCCAGATGGCTCGAGGGCCAAGTTCTCAGGGCTGGACAGGACCTCCTGACTCACAGGAGCCTATGGAGCAGGAAGCACCAGCCCCGCCCCCAGTGGGCCCCCCCCATCTCACTTTCATCCCCACGCCTCCCAGACCCCAGCTTGGGGTAGCCACAGTTCCTCCCTCTCCAGGGGAGCCTGGAGGCCAACTGGGAAGGCAACCCCCTGGAGATGAGGGTCTGGTGGCCGAAGCCAAGACCAGGGTCTCAGAGACATCCCCCTCGGCGCACCAGGGCCCTCCGCACGCTCTTGTGCCCCACTCCGGCACTGTCAGGAAGCCGGCGCTGGAAGAACAGGCTTGGGGTGAGGAGGACTTCCGGGAGGCAGCTCGAGGTCCTCTCTTCGCCCAGCGGCATCCAGCAGCCCCTGATGTTGGCTCAGTATCCCCAGTTGAGGCGGCATCCTCTCGGGAGCCTGGGTCCCAGCCAGACCTGGCAGCGGCCAGAAGCCTTCCTCCTCCTGAGGAGCTGCCAGTGGAGCTCCCTGAGAAGTCCGGAGGTGGGGACACCTGGGAAGTCAGTTTTTCAAGTCCCTCACCCAAGCAGGCTGACCTCCCTGACGTTACGGGCTCACCAGGACCCCAGCTCTCAGGTCCCCCAGCCTCAGAGACTTCTGATGGGCGGCCCAAGCCAGGTGGGTATCAAAGTGAGAGTGCTGAGTAGGGCTGGGAGGAGGCGGCGTTCCAGGATGCCCCAGTTTCTCTGTGCCCTCTGGTCCCTCTGGGTCCCGGTTTCCTCATGCTGACAAATGAGGGTGATGGTGCCACCCTCCTGGGGGATGAGACTTTGGAGACCGCTGGGTGGTCAGGCAACGTGATGACTGCTTTTATTATTTCAGCGAGAGCAGCAACGAACGGAGCAGACCCCGTCTCCCCCCAGCGGGTGAGAGGAGCGGTGGAGGTCCCAGGTCCCCTGAAGTCCCTCATCCCTGTCCCCTCGGACCCTGGCCCAGCTACAAACCGAACAGAGAGCCCTATGGGGGCTGTGCAGCCAGGTGAGGGCATGGCTGGGGGTACTCTGCCTAATAACTAAGAACCTGTGTGAGGTTATCTGTGGGGGGCGGGGGGCAGTGAATAGGGACAAACACTCTCTTAAAGGAATTGGCCAGGACCTCCTTGAAACCACTTACGATAATAAACTCACTGGGTACTCTAGGAGAAGTCATTTGCCCTTTGGGGGCTGGAATAGTCTTCAGTGTAACATGGGGATGCTTAGTGCAGTGATTCTCCAACTTCTGCAAATCACTGGAGGAGCTTTTAAAAAATCCCAGTGCCCAGGCCCCATCCCAAGGAGTTCTGATTCAGCTGGTCTCCAGGTGATTCTGATACGCAGCCCGTGTTGAGAACTGCCGGTATATTATTAATAAAAATGATAGCTCACATCCATTTAACACTTACTGGGTGTTGGGAGCTCTGCTAAACATTTAATCCTCACCCCAGCCCAGTGAGGTAGGAGCTGTTACCATCCCTGTTTTACAATGTGCTTGGGAAAGTTAAACACCTGGCCCACTACACTAGAGAATGATGGAAAATCAGAAACGCTTTACAAAGGGCGATTTTAATATTGTTATTATTGCAGATGAAGCCGAGGAGTGGCCGGGGCGCCCCCAAAGCCATCCCCCAGCACCCCCAGTCCAGGCCCCCTCGACGTCACGCCGGGGCCTCATTCGGGTCACCACGCAGCGTGCCCTGGGCCAGCTACCCCCTCCGGAGCCCTCAGCCAGCTCCATGGCATCAGCCCCAGCCTCCAGCCCCCCGGCCAACGCCACCGCACCCCCCCTGCCCTGGGGTCCCCTGCGGCGGGTGCTGAGCTTTTCCTGGGAGCTGCACGTCTATGGGGTGGGGGTGCTCTTCCTCCTGCCCGCCTCGTTGGCGCTGGCCTCGCTGGCAGCCGCCCCTGCGGGGTCCCGGCTAGCACTGGTGGCTGCGGTGCTGGTGCTCGTAGCGTCGGCGCTGCGATCCGCCTACATGCTGGCTGACCCCTACGGCTCGCAGGCGCGGCTGGGCTTACGCGCCAGCCTGGTGCTCTACAACCTGCCCTTCCCCTTGCTGCTCACTGCGCTCGCTGCCCTCACCCTGCTCGGCCTGGGCGCCGGGCTGCCACAGCAGCTGCAGAACCCGCTCCTGCTGGGAGCGTTGGCGTTGGCGCACGGTGTGGGGTTGCTCACTGCAGACCTGCTGTCCGCCAGGCCTGCACTCAACCTCCTGGCCCAGGGCTTATCGTGCGCCTGGGGCGCGGTGGTGGCTCTGGGCACACTCTGCCTGTGCCGTCGCCGCCTGCTGGACGGGCCGCGGGGCTGGGATACGAGCCCGGGCCCGCGGCTGCTGGCCGTGGCGGGTGCGCTGGGGCTGCTGGCCAGCGGCTTGCAGCTGGCGGCCGCGCTGTGGCTGTACCCGGGCCCAGGCCGGGTGGGCCGCTTCTCGTGGGCCTGGTGGGGTGTCCACTTTTGGCTGCGCCTGCTGGAGCTGACATGGGCGCTCGCCATGGCGCTGGCCGCCGTGGCCGCCGCACGGCCCAGGCCGCCCACAGAGCACGCTTGCTGGGCTAAGCTGCTGCGCCTGGCGTGCCCCGCGCCCTCGGGCAAGAGCGAGGTGCCGGAGCGGCCCAACAACTGCTATGCGGGGCCCAGCGGCGTCGGCCCAGGTAGCTTGGACATCAGCAGGAGCCTCATCCGCAACCCAGCGGAAGGTGGGCCGCCTGCCACGCCCAATTCAGACGCCTGGGGCTCGGCTGCGTCGCTGGGCCATGGGCCCCAGGGTGGCCCGCGACTGTCCCGCAGCAGCGTGGGGCCGGCGCCATCGATGAGCGAGCTGGACCTGCGGCCGCCGTCACCCATCAACCTGAGCCGCAGCATCGACGCCGCGCTCTTCC